TGGGTCAGGAGCTAATTTGATGGCCTGTTAGGTTCTGAAATTGCCTGAATTTATGGCTTTTTTTTGTTCTTTAGGTCGGTCAGCAACCTCATTGTAGAGGAACTAGAAATTCTAGCAGGAGTAAACGATTATTTTCGAAAAATTATAGAAAAAAATCACAAATAATAGGCCAACGGTTCACGTACCATCGCTGAGCTCCTCGGAGATCACGATGCCTTCGGGGCACTGTTCCGACTGGCCAAAAACAATGTTCTGTATAAAATGGCCACCACTCCACGAGTTTCGATTCACACATCTAAACCAAATCAATCGAAGTAAATCACCTAAATAGTGATAGAAATATAGGAAACTGCACGGGTCACTAGAAAGGCACAAAAGCCAGAGCACGCATATGATATGCGAATGAGAGAGCAACAAACATCGCCGTGACATACTAAAGGCGATCACGAAAAGGTACGGTGCTATGCTACGATCAGTAAGGCGGAACAAGCTCCAGACTGGAGGTACTGAGGTTTATTGTCTCGATCGTACACAGAAATCGTGCCCCAGCCAGCGTATGATCACAGATTCAGGGGGGCCTCGACAAGGGCAAGGATACAGCGCTATATGGGGAAAATGTCGAAACATGGCTCTCCCGTCACTCTGGAGACTTTGAAAGACTCACCTGGCAATGGTCAGGTCCCAAGCACAGTGCGGATCTTGCAGCGCTATGCATCTGTTGCACGAGTCCGGTTCGTTACAGTGATGCACATCAATCGTAGCCACTTCATCAGATGACACCACTACCAACTGCCGTGGCGTCGTCAGCAAATTGACCTGAAGATGAAACCCTCGCACTCTTCCGTTCCAAAAATATACAGGAACTGCATCGACGTACCACTGGCACCGTCTTTGAGAACACGACGATAGACTCGATTATCGTAGTGTTGCCTACTGTTTCAATGAGCTTCAGCACACGGCCGTCAGAAGTGCCTATGTAGATGATGTCGTAGTGTTGACCATTCACAGAATCCACCTGGAAAATGCAAGCGCTAATCCATATTGCCGATCAATAATGGAAAATTAGTCTTTCAAACTGTTTTCACAGAAAAGTATCTAAACTTTTCTAATTGTCGGGTTTTTCACCCGTCAGTGCAACTCACATGAGGTAGCACGGCAATCTGAGTGAGATCGGCCCTCTCAGAGCCTTCGATGAGCATTGGACCATTGATGGATTCGATTGCACGATGCATCAACGGCGTCCTGGTGATGAACGAGACCGTCGCCTCCGGCAGACGAGTAGAGTCGGGAACACAGGCTCCTGGACGGGGTCGAGGGATCTCGTTGCGACTGTATGGCACCCACAAAGAGTTTACAGTTCGCTGAAATTAAGTGGAATCAGATATTATGGGACTGATCATTGCTTTTTAAAGATGACGACTATCTAAAGGGCACTCCATGGTGCCTCTTACAGTCGCAGCATGATAAACGGTTGATTCAGAAATACGTGAGGGCAGCCTTTACAAGGTAAGCTAATCTTACTCCTAG